ATGGGGAGGGGAGGAGGGGGTGAAGGGAGGGCAGAGGTAAGGAGAAAAAATGAGAATCAAGACTTGTCATGTAGAGGTACAAGATCCCAACAATGAATGTAACTGCACTGTATCCCTAAAATGTACCAATAAACTCAATTAAAGCTGAAAAAAAAAAAAATTCAAGGTCATTTCCTGCAAATGCAGGCATTTCTTGACTGAATGAGCTCAGCAAGTGCCCATATAATTTAGTAGGTCATCCTCATGAGGGCTCAGCAAATCATGGACACAGAAGAGCCAAATATTGTGAGAACAAAAAAATGAGCAATCTTCATAGAAATAATGAAGAGTTAGAATAGCACCGGACTCCTTACCAATACCAGTGAAAAACAGGAGTTAATGGACCTTCCCAACACAATGTCAAGCTTATACTCCTATAACCATACAACTGTCAATGAAATAGGATAGAGCCACTTGTAGACATATAGGGTCTCAAGAATATTTACTGTCATGTGTTCTACCAGGGGAAGCATTCCATCAAATGAGGATTTAATAAAAAATGTGGAAATAATGAGACCTAAAAACCTGAAGACAAGTGATAGGAACATCATCACACCATGATAGTTGTACCACTGCTCTACTGAGTGGCCTTTCCCAGTCAAGCTAGAAGTCTTGCAGAATTCAAGAAATTCAAATGACAGTCCACTAAATGTGTATCACACAGTGGAGAGTAGAGATTTACATACTAGCAGATAAACTGGAAGTGAGATATATAAGAAACAATAAAAACAAAGAAAAATATTAATGTGGTGGAAAAAAGGTATAGGAAAGGAAAACCACAGTACACTGCCATGACTAAGCTTTTACACTGTTTAACAAGTAAGCACTGAATATAGTCATAGTTACAATGAATTACATTAGTAGATGGAGAGGTAAAAGTAAAGATGTATGTACTGGAAATAGACAATAGTGAAAAGCTAAATCTTTACCCATTTTTGGAGTTAAAAAATTGAAACTACAACTTGAAGAAAAAGAGGTAAATGCCACAAGAATTAGTTTGAAAAGTTAAAAGCAGGTGCCTCTGTGGATGTGGAGGGCTGGGGGCTTCCACTTTTCATAAATAGCCTTAAGTAACTATCTGTCTAATTATATGTGTATATTCCTTTGACGAAAATAAAAATTATACCAAAATGTCCCACCACACTAATCTACTCATATTTCTAGATACAGCTTTTCAATTTAACAATATCCATAAAAATATTACATGTAAATACCCGTTGGCCCCCTTCTGTGAGCTACCTTAAAATCTTTCTCCAAGCAACTGTCTACCTGAGAGGATATTCACTGGCCACTGCTCATGCTACTAAAAATTACTGCAAAATACTAATTAAGGTACGTATTGAAACATAATGCAACTATGAAGTCACAATCCATTTTCATTAAAATTGGAAAATGTCATGGTAGTACCTGAAATCTCAGCACTCAGGAGGCAGCCAGGAAGAGTGTGAGTGCAAGAGTTCAAAGCCAGATGAACTGAATTACACAGTAAGACCTAGACTCAAACAAAACAACAACAAAAAAAGAGGCTCCCATTCTGTCAAGCTGAGGGAAGGAGTTTACAAAACGGCAGGTGTAATCTCACACATTTCCCGATTACTGGGACTTCTACTTTTCTCCATGGCGTCAGGGTTTTCTCCATTATACCAGCATTTTCAAGTGAGGACTCCTCCAGGAGTTCTTACGAGACCACTATTTTAAAAACTGTCAACTCTTCCCCGGGAGCCTTTCCCTGGAGCTTTTACAGCACAGGCCCTGATGCATGTTCTTGAAGGCCTGAACCCCAACACTACTACTTATTACCAGCCATGTGGTATGACATGTCTCAGTGCTTCAGAGCCTCACACCAAAGTATAACAGATACTCAAAGTTAATATGCTTGGAAGAAAAACTGATTTATCATGTGCTGTGCATATTTGCTTGTTTTAAGTAAAGGTTTACTACGTTAATGATGAAAACTGTCTTTTGCACTCTTGATTATCTGAATTTTTCTCGTGATAAAAGTTAACTTTTGGCCGGGTATGGTGGCGCACGCCTGTAATCCCAGCACTCAGGAGGCTGAGGCAGGAGGATCCCTGTGAGTTCGAGACCAGCCTCGGCTACATAG